GTCCAGGCTTCAGCAGGGGTTCAATATCAATATCAAAAGTGTCTCTTATGAATATAATAACCAAGCTATCAAACCTGCGTGCAGGACTGCACGCATTTTCACTGACAACTGTCTTCTTATTCCCCAGGTGCAGAAAATCAACTACGGATCTCCAGCACGCATCATCATCAAATGCTGTTGTTGTTGTTGTTGTTGAAGAGTTAGGGCGCGCAGCACATCATCATCAAATGCAATGCCAATATAATTGTAATGGCTGACAGAAATGTTTTTCTACAACTTCGACATACATGGCGTATAAGTTTCGATTTGGGATTAAGATGCTGCTACCAAATACAATTTGCTAACTAATCCGTCGTGAACTACGCATTCTTGAAGTCCTAGGCAGGTTGAACCGTTGAATTGTGTACATTTTCGAGTTTTTGAAGATGAAAAAAACAAAAAATTTAATCAAAACTATATACGAAGAGAGCCATATTAGATTGAAGATTCAAACGCCCATGTAGCACTTGAAGGAAGTTAGCTGAGGGCTGTTCACGGGCCCTGTGTGGCGTGTTTCTTTTTTCCAACCAAAGGAAGGCGCTATACCCGAAGATGCTTCTTGGTAAACAAACCAAACAAAAACAAACATAACCTAACCTCACCTGACCTAACCTACAACAAACAAACCTACAACCTACAACCTAACCTACAACCTAACCTACAGACCTACAACCTACAAACCTACAACCTACAAACCTACAACCTAACCTACAACGCGCCAAAAAGTTCGGCCGACGGCGGGGATCGAGCCCTAGTTATTAGATCACGAGGCGAGTGTGCTCACCACTACATCACGCAGCCAGCTGGCCGGTGAGAGGTGTAAGTCACTTTTCAATGACGCAATGGGATATTCTCCGTATAGCGCCTTCCTTTGGGTGGAAAAAAGAATTACGCCCCTGTGTGCGGTCGGACCGCACACAGCCTCCAAGCTCCGCCCACTGCGTCCCTACGTCAGCCTTCCGTCACCGCACACAGCGACCGCTGTGGCCGGTCGGGACTGGCCACAGCGGACCGTCCACCGCACGCAGCCGTGACGTCAGAGCCGCCTACCCATCCCCTACCCCCACGCCTGCTGGACGCACCGCACACACCGCACGCAGCAGTGTGCGGTGCCCGTGAACACCCCTCAGGCATCATCGACGTTGCTTTCGCCTTTTACGTTCACGGAAGCTATAGCTATTGACAATTGTATCTTGCAGGCTGCAGCATTGCACTCATCAGACTCATAGGTGCTTATATAAAGAATAAACTTTAACGAATGGATTTTTCATTAATCACATAGTATAACAAGGATGCAAAATAAGAACAAGAGCATCGACCAATGCACTCTTCTGGCGCTCGCCATGGAACAAAACAGACTGGTAACTGGTAAGCGCTGGTAAACGTGGCTGCTGGGATCATTCCGACCGAACCCGTCCATGCTTTGGTCGCGGCCCGATCTATATCAGATCAGTGGTCACTACGCCGGACGTCCTCGCTTCTAAATTCATCCTCGTCCCTCGAGGCCGCCGTCAAAGTCAATCTCTCTCACTATGACGGTTGTCAAAGTCTCCGCCACCATGGCTGAAGACACCATCTGGGCTTTCGTTTCCCCCGAAACTACCATCTTTGCCGCCAAAAACTCCTCCGTAGCCGCCGCCGTAGCCACCGCCGTAGTCGCCGCCGTGCTCTCCGCCGCCGTAGTCGTCGTACTGCGCGCTGGAGCCGCCTAGCAGGGCGCAGACATAGGTAGGTACGCCAGTGTGTCTGTCGTTTCGTTTCTGCTTATGTAGGGAATGTGGTTTCTTTCCCGATGACAATAGCAGGCCCGACATAATATTCGTTGTCGTGTAACGGAAGGCGCTTGGTCGACCCGGAGCCCTCGACGGACCCTGCATCCCACTGGCTCCCCCCCCCCCCCCCTTCACCCCATAGCGCCCGCCTTAGCAGCCGGTGTCTCCCACGCTACTTCTGTGACAACCGAGGTGGCCCGGGACCGTACAGACCAGCCGTCCTGGCGCCTGATTTGGTCCAGGACCGGTCAGGGCAGCCCCTCCAGACACCTAATTTTGTTCGCGGCCGGTCAGACCATGTCACCAGCCCGTCCTGACACCCGAAGCGGCCACGAACCACCCACGAACTCTGTCCTATATCCTATTTGCAGGTGAAGCTGTGAGAGGAGTTTATGAATTACATGTGACAGAAGGAGTGGTGGCTTCTTTTCGTTTCCCTTACCAAGACTCCGGGGTTTGGTGAAATGACTTTCATGCGTAACGCGCGAATCGTGTGTTAGCCGGCTTAGCTGCGACAATATACGGTAATAAACGCTTTTTAGTTGACATACACGCACTGCCCAAATATATCTACCACGTCGTGATAGCGGCAGCGGACCACTCCTATCCAGAGGCTGTGTGACCTCTCAGCCACACAGGTCTTAAGTCTATCTGACCGCGGGTCACCGTCCGCCCCGTCCCCGGGGCCCGATCAGCTCTCCCCCACCGGGCCACCACGTGTCACAGTGTGCCGCGGCTATCGCACTATCAGCGCGTGCGTGTGATTGACCGGGGCGAGGCGTCCCTTAGGAGACCGGCCGCCGAGCGGAGAGCCGAGGTGACGGGAAGTGTGTCACGTCCTATAGATAGGGCAGCCGTGTATAGAGGGAGAATGGTGCGAATGTTTTCTACCTTCAAAAAAAGTTTGTTGAACAGAAATTTTAGCACCGCCACCACTGACCCGCCAAACAACCATGTTGACCACCGTCACCATTCAAAAGGCAATGGATTTAATTGGTCCGAGAACTTCACGCTTATAAGTACATACTACAGCAAATGGAGTCATGATCCAGTTAAACACGTTATTGGGGCATTTTGCTATTTCCCGCGCTGATTTTCTTATTTTTCGTCGACTGGCTACATCACGTGCGCTGCCGCACAAGTCATAACTAAGCATTTGATTGTACATATCTTATGATAAGCGAAAAAGGATACATCCGCTTGTTAACATTTGTAAGCTGAAGCCCGTTGCCAGCAAGGCCATATATAGGGTTATCAGTTTGCCACCAACGACCAACATGTGCCAACATGACCTGAACACTTGACCGTCCATTTCTCTCACGGCCCGTTTAAAATCTGATAGTGGCGGCGGTTTGTTAGAACCACGGGACAGTTAAACGAACCGTCCTCGGGCATAGCGACGCACTTGGCCTGCGCTTTAGATGAAACACGGCTGTTTTCCGCGCCGCGCCGCAGATGATCCACACTCCAACGAGTCCCCGGCGAGCAGTTAGACCGAGCTGGCATCAGCCCGGTGAAATTTATACGGCATCCGCAAATCCGCATTGGTGACTACCCCAAACAACGCCGGCAAAACGGATATATGGCAAATCACTGACGGGACGGGCTTCAGTTAGATGTTTCCGGCTCCGAAATCCAACGGTAAGAACTGAAGACGTCATGAGATTTGTCTATCGCTATGGCCAGGGGCGCGGGAACTACTTTCCGACTGGGGGGGGGGGGGGGCACACCATAATAGAGATTAACCTAGGGTACCCCCAAATCTAGTTTTCTCACCGGTTTTAGGCCACTTATTTTTCACCCCTCGGCTTTTTCAACAAAAAAAGAAAACATTTGCAAAAAAAGTGTGGTATTCCGTCTCAAAGCTGTGGGGGCACCGCCCCCACGGCCCCAGAGTTGGGGGTGGGGGCAAGCTGCCCCCACTGCCCCCCCCCCGGCTCCCGCGCCTATGGCTATGGCGAATCAGCTTTGGCGTTTCATTGCAGATTTAATGCTGAAGCGTAAGCTCTCAAGGATGATTTAGTAGTGCAGTTCTTTACGTTTTTGCAGCTGTCACTTCATGGACGTAGGAATGTATTTATCCAACATAGCACTGCATACTACCTATACACAAAAAGGAAATGCCAAAATAAATCACTCGCTGCTATGTGACGTTGTGTGGTCATTTATTATAATACCTCGACCATTTAAAAAATAAATGTTATCGGCCCCTCGTACTGCAGCTCTGCATGAAGTGGGCGACATTTCAACAGTCGTAAACTCACACAGCACACTGTTGAGCTTTATCAAGGCAACCTTTAGATTAAAACTTGTTAAAAGATAACCATTTCATCTCTTCGGCTTATGCCATGAGATGAGCCTGGCAGGGCAGTAAATAACACATTTACTCATAAACATACTAAAAGTTTATGACTGAAACTGCTTGGGATTTATTTCCTGTGGCTTATCTTGCGTGCTCGTGTTCCGTAAGAGAGTCCTTGACAGCGATGTAAGCACTACGGTTGCTATTTTAACCCTGTATCAGCTGGGAAAGGATTTGCATGCTCCTCTCGAATGTTTATTTTAGGCATAAAAACGGTGGCGCGCATCTTAGCGCCCACCTTATGAGTATTGAGCACATACAAAGAGCATTATATTCATGATCCCTCAGCCGAAAACGGCATACGTAACCCCTGATTGAAATATCTTTTTCGATTTGACTCATTGAACTTGAATGACGATTGAGCGTTGATCTTTCCAGGGCGGTATGTAAATATCAAATTATGCCTATTAATACGTATCATTCATTATGCATGCAATTCATCCGCTTGTTGAAATTTATGGGCTGTCCATGAGCCATGAGCGATCAGCTATTGCCAAAGTGCACCATCGTGAATAAATCACGCGCGCAATTACAATAATCAATCCCTCATCGGACGCGGATAAACAAACCATTCTCCCTGCGCAAGTGACGGCGCATGGCATCTCCCCTCCCCTCGGAGCACATGTAGACGTCTTCAGACGCAGCTGTAAGCGGGGACTGTGAAGGCTCGAGGGCGTGTCGTCATCTCTGCCTGGGCGACTGCGGGGCGCGGGGGCACGGCGGACACCTTGGTGGGTGCTCGGCGCCCGCTCGGTCGGTCGCCCGCGCGGTCGGACGGTCGGACGGTCGGACGGTCGGAGGTTCAGTCGGGCGGCGGACGGCGTGTGAGAAGGTGTGCCGGGTGCAGAGTGGAGGTCTGTGTCGACGAGGATCGGTGAGGGAGGAAACTGAGCTGGTGGAGGATAGAAGGAGGTATGGTGATACAGGTACGACACACGGAGTCAGATGATGGGATTCCGGATGCTGATGTGCCCGTGTGAGAGGTTGGGATTGACGTTTACTTTTATAAACAAAAACAAAAAAATTACACGGTGCATCTCTTTGAATTTTGAAGCTTTGTGTTTTTGCTACTGAATGTTACCGTCACAATGTGAAAACAGAAAATTAAACAATACATTCCATACATTTGATAAAGTAGACATAAACGTTATGCTTGATCATGTAAAGTGCATCACCTAAATTCAAGAAGAGCAAACATTTTACTTGAATTGACAATTCAGTTATTGTTCGATACCATATTATTGACCGAAGCCTCTTGAAACTGTTCGACAAGTAAACTTTTGGTTTTAAAGCCCTCTTCTTCTGTTGAGGTTCATGATTGTTTTCCATTCAATCATGAACTCGTCTCAGAGCTCTCGCCATCTAATATCAAAAAGCAATTAGATTGTGGCCAAATAAATACCTTGGCCAATGGCCAATCATTGGAGCCAGGAAACTTTGATCCAAACTCCTTGGTAATCGGCCCCGCTTGATCAAGTCAAACTGTTAAAAAGCCATTGAACAGGTGTGGGTATGATATACAAATATGCTTTCCAATGTTATCCAATACCCTCATGCATGCTTTATGTTATCCAATTACGCCTTTTTGCAGAAAATAATAGCAGGCCGCAGGGCGAATAGGAAGCTAATACACGTTACTGTCACATTTCATTCCTTTGCTATAGATAGAGGCTCATTATGCGTACACACATTGACACAGTAGGAAAAAAATGGCGCGGCCAACATTATTATTGTACACTGGGCATTAGGCACGCTGGCCAGTATTATTCTAAGTGGCAAGTGGTGAACGGAAAAGGCGAAAATATGAGTCGCTTTGCAACCGGGTGCGATCAGGCTTTCAATGAGCATGGACAATGGCTGACGCCATACTATTACATTTTATTTCGTTTTATTAATCACATTTTACATTTGCTATACCTAACATTTCTATCCCTACTTTATAACGTTTTATTTCGTAAACCTTAGTGTTCATCCTAACGTTCGTGTGCATAGTCAAATTAAATAGTGCGAAACGAAGCAGCTCAATGCTCGTCGAAAATTGCTGGGTCATTCCGCTGGAAAACATTATGCTCCATCGTACAATAAACATTCATTGTGACAGCCCATGGGTGCAATGTGACAAGTTGACAGCCATCCTAGTGCCGCTGAAAAGCATGCAAATTTCATATTTGATGTATGCAAGCATTGACACACTTCAGTTTCCACGAGGGCATGCTAATGCATTAGCAGCACCAAGCTCAATCAGCCATGAAGGAACAGTCACTCCCAAAGACATGTCTATGTTGAACAGCAGGCTTGCCCTAAGACTTATTACCTACCATCTGTGACGGAATACTGAGCTATGTTTCTTGGATGCGCCTTCACCGTTACCTGCTGAATGCATAACATTAAACGCAGCTCGGGTAAAGCCTTTACTGTAGCAAAGTTGTGTTCTAATCTGAAGCAACTCCCGATCCCTGTAACGCGACGCGCTCCGGCAGAGTGCCTGCAATGCCAGGCTGTACCGCAGAGCACGATGGTATGCGGCACAGCCTACATCACAAACAGCCAAGAGGCTGCCTGCTTGATAATCTCCCCGCATTGCTGTCTGATGTAATTCGGTTTTCAGTGCCCTCAGCCTGTTTTTCTTCACTTTTAAATTGCTTCATCTAATAACTCCTTCTTTCCTATCCCTGGACGGAAGAGCCTCTCGGAAAGGACGGTAGGAAAATCTTCCCGATTTGATCTTACCACTATTTCGTTGCGTGCGCTCGGCTATCTGCTGCAATTGGGGCTCAGCAGGAGAATGTGCGACCATCAGTTGGCAATAAACTGGGTGTTAAGAGTGGAAATCTGACCACATGTGTCGGCCGCGGGCGGAACGCGCCTCTGAAAATATCAGATAGTTGGCAAATTATGATTGAACGTTTAGTTTAAAGCATCGTGGCAAAATTCTTCCGGATAGTTGAGTACGGAAGACAAGTTATAACTGAACGCCAAATATTGGTTTTATTGATGCTGTCTCACACTAATCCTTTCGCGGGCATGAACTATGAAGTCTAATTAGATCGTTGACGATGACGATCAGCATTCAGCGGCTATTTATTTTACCCTGCAAGATAAAGGGAGCATCACTTAAAATTGCTTCAGCAATGTTCCAGTGGCGCTAAGCTCGGCATACTTTCTTCATAAACATTTTTGCTGTGAATACCTCCAGTTGGATTAATGCAAATCTCGAAAAATAAATTGTTAAATTTACTTAGCAGGACGATGCGCCCGGTAACCTATCAGCATGTCCTGTAATTTCGTCTTCGGTCTCCTGGAGGTCGAAGCACTGACGTTATCTGAGGCCTGACGACAGCCCCAGAACAGCCCTAAAGGGGCTATCAATTGCCTTTATCGCGCGTTTTCCTACCTCTTCTAGCTTCGCTATGCATGATGTTTGCCAGAAATGTCAGTTTTAGTTGGCGCCATACAAAGTTTGACGTTTGAAAACTTCTGCAGTTCTTCAGACATTCCTTTAGCGGCGGCAAAGAGTGGTCAAGCTCGCCAGAACAAATTAATTAAGGAAATGTTGGACTAATGGACGTTTTTAATGGCTGATATGGAAGCTAGTATTGATATAATTGCAGCACGTGCTTATTTACGCCGCACGTTATGTACCGTCCAGATCACAATGGATGACACTAGCATACCAAAGTACACCAGAAACGCCTAAGGGCTTCACGAACACATTAAACAAGCACGGAAACATGATATTTTTGAAAGATAAGTAAACGCCTATGCATTAACTTACAAGTTATCATTTACTGAACTAAACAGGGGTCGTAAACTAAGAATACCTGATGGTCTGAATAGTAGGTGGCCAAATGCGTCCTTAGCTTTTCGCCATTCAACCATTTCGTTGAAAGCGTGATTCTCAAGTATGACATTAGCATTTATCAATAGTCAATGAGACGAACTGCAAGAAATCAACCCTCCCTTTATACAACCATTGTCAATCTGAGAAAGAGTTTTACTAACACTTGAGATTGAGGTTCTTTGCTGAAAAGTGTACTTCAATGCGTTATTGCGTTGGAAATGAAGTTCTTGTATTACCGTTCGCACACTAGGTTGACTGGTAGAAAAAAGCCCTGTAGGGAGCTTAGAGTGTTTTTCACTTTCTCTTGAATTGCTAAAATATTTGCCCTAGCTGTTGTCACCACCCCTGCTTTTCGCTAGCCTGTAGTTTGCGTTTGCATGTTTGCTGCGATGTTTGATTTAAAGGTAGTGTGCCAGCTTTCTTGGACCGTATGGAGTTAATGGCCCAGATAAGGAGAACCGGATTTTTAGATCTTATCCATACCTTCAAAACTCATGGAAACGTCTTAAATTCTTCAAATTTTGAGTACCCCAGTGCGAAGTTCGCCCCGACGGGTTGTCGGTCGTACCCCAACCACATTTCACACCACTATGAACAATAAATGCACACACTGAAATCGCTATTACCGATATGCTCATCCAATCAAGTTTCGATAAACCCGTTCATCATCATCTCCTGCGGTTTCGAACACGCCTGTTAGGTGGCTTCTGATGCTCGTCGAGGTCGGAATTTCCAAATACGCGTGGTGCGTCGGGCCGCGCGCTCTGACTTCGGCCAAGAAAAATGCGTCAGCTGATCATTGTCATTTCTGCCACTTGCGTGTGGTGAAATGGGGTCATAACTTAAAAGACGGCTTTTTCATATCAATTATTTTACATAAAATCATATTTCAAACCATAAATAATGTTCGACAGCCAAATAAAAGAAACAATACCAATACGGGCTTACAGTTTAAGGCTCGACATTGTGTTGTCTACGATTAGACAGCTGATAACTCATTCCCGTACGTCGTATGGTCGTAACACTATAATGACCTTTGCTTATTGTCACAAGTGCGCCGCATTCGCGATTGTTGCCCGACGCCTGTTTGCAGGTGAGCCCACTACAGTTGTTATACATATCTAAAAACCGATAAACTTTTAGGCGAAAAAGGCACTATTCCAGGCCCATTTTTGATTTTTTTTGCGATATTAGGTAAAAACAGAAGCTTCTTATCCTAGGAAAAATAAAATGGGAAATCTTTCAAAGGTGGCACACTACCTTTAACCCTCGCCCGCACATGGGGGGGGGGGTGGTTGCCACCCCCCCCCCCCCAGGCAGTCTTTCTGCTCTGCACTTAACATTTTTAGAGCTAGAAGGCTGATTTTTCGTATAGCTGCTCGTCTATCCTTTCTTGATGTCCACTAAAATTTCAAGTTTCTGTGATTTTTGGTTTCGGAGATATGACCTTGTTTTTCAGGTCATGTCATGACCCAAATGGCCAATTCTCAACATCTTGCGTTTGCCATGGGCCTTGTGAGCTTTTGACACCCTGATTTCGGCCTTTTTTGCCAGTCTTACCTCCCACCTATCATGGAACATGTTGTTCGACGATGTACAGGGGTCAAGGTCAGGGTCAAGGTCAACCTAGGTCATCTAAGATAATTGCGTTTTAGGCAAGCTGAATTTACTTTTTGTGAAGTTTTTTGACTGCATTTTGGGTAAAAGCTTCTCAGATCATGATTTCATGTGATATGGACCCAAAAACAATCGGTGCACACATCAGTATACACACAGACACACACAGACATACAAACACATATAATTGACCTTGACCTAACTTGACCTGAAATGACCTCAGCAGCAAAATTCTGGTCGGATAGTGTGACAAAGAGGTTCTAGCTGGCTTGGCACCAGAAAACAGCATCGTCATCGGTATTTGATAAGCAGCGCACTTGATATCCAACGGTGACCCAAAACAGCAACATTTTTTAGTTTGACCTGACCTGGAAGGTCAATGACTGACCTGAGAAGGTAAAACTGGGTATCATTGGATTCGTCTCTTCCCAAAGAATCTTTTTGGTCTTTACTGCTAAGCTCTATCTCCAACAGGAACGAAATGGCGCGGGGGGGGGTGGCAACCACCCCCCCCCCATGTGCGTTCTAGGATGGGAAAATGGCATGTGCGGGCGAGGGTAAGTTGCGGTTTCTGATCTCACTCAATGTTATTTTCATTTATTCAGTTGCCCACTATATACGTACAGGCATAGTCAGGCATAAGTTCCTTATATCTTTTGCCGTTTCTTTTCCATTTTTATATGCAGTGCTGCCATGAGAAGGTGCAAACAATGCGACCATCAAAGCTCCCTCAGGAGAAGTATAAATTGGCAGTACTGCCGCCAGACATGAAATGTAATGGTCTCATGCACTGCATGCCACCAACAAAATATGCAATGCATACCATACTCGTAACTGAGTGTTCTTAGGTGAATATCTGACGCGTTCAGTGTTTTCCTTGATGCATACTTGAAATTCGTTGAGCTAGCCTCGACATAAGCTGAGTACCTATGTCGCATCATCGAGGTTTTAAACGTGCACATTTTCTCTCACTGTGCTTCTATGCCACATCCCAACTATGCTAATTCCTTCCTACTAGGCAAGTAACCGATGCGACATTTTCTAAATCTGTGGAAGGTGGAAAATGTGACTCAGCTGCTAAATTCTCAGAAACTAATCATAACTTTTCATCATTTGCATGATTATAAAGCTGTGCTTGGGTCATATTTAAGGAGATATCCCAACAGAGTAAGCAAACTAACTAAAGCCTGTGCGGGCTGAAGACCACAAATGGGGCAGTTTCAGAAATCAATTCTGGATTTGGTGATTAATCGCTTTAGTCTGTTACGCCATAAAGGATTATGGTTTCTGGGCAGCCTTAATGATCGAACCATCGCTAAAAAATTTACAATCGTCTGTCACCCGTCTACGTCTACGCGCAAGTAAATATAAGGTGCGTGTAACCCTCCGTATAATGTGATTACCGGTGGATTACCGTTATCTTTACGCACAAACTTAACTCACAGATGTGATTATAGAAGTTTGCCTTGTCGCTTCACTGTAGAGCTGTCGCATCTTACAGCTTGGAATATCTGAGAAAAAAAAAAATAGTCGAGAAAATGAAAATGGTTAAAAATCCAACATTTTAGTGACGTCGGTATGAATAAGAGCAGTTTAAATATTGCTTGGACACAAGAATTGCACGAGTAATGCATACAAGATACTTGGAAAACATATGGGGCTATGAATAACGTATGGGAAGCGAGGAGTGAGGACGTTCATCCACATGCAGCATAAGAGGAAGAGTGTGATGTTAAATTTGTTGCTGCGTGTGGAATGTGATTAGTAGCTATAAAACGTTGTCTTTCCAAAAACTTAAGTTTAAGGTGTCTCAAATGATTTAGAATAATTGTCTCTTTCTTACCCTTTAACTGACAATTGACAATGGACTGTTTCCCTCCAGTCCTCTCGCCAGCACATCTGCGTGAACACGTTGTCTGTTCTCGAACTCAAGCTGCGGCTGTCAGGACAGATTTCTGTGACATATCACTCAATCCCGCACTCGCTAAGAGCAGCTGCTATACTGAATCAGAAAACTTCGTGATCCAGCTCCGTGTAAGTGCTGGCGGCGCGACTTTCTAGGGCCACACGAGACCTCACAAAGCTCCTTAAATCCCACAGGCGAATGCAACACCTTCTACCGTGTTTCAGCCGCCGTGAGAAAGCTCCTGGTCGTGTCAGCCGCGCCGAAATCGTCGCTTTCTCCATCTGACAGCTGTCACAGCCTCTCCTGTGTGTTTACCAGACATTTCCCCATCTGTCCAAACTCCCGCAGCCACTGGAGCGGACTACCCTCCTCAGATTCCGTCTGGAGAGTTTTTGAGCCGGGGAGTTTTTCCAATGCGTGGATGGCGGCCGGCTGCGGTCGAATGCAGAATGGAGCCGGCTCCCGTAAAGGCGACGAGCCGCCGAGAGAGCGAATGGAAGGAATAAGAAGAAGGCGTGGGGTCGATGGGGTTGGTGTAGAAAGGGAGAGGAGGGGACAATGGGGAAGAAAGGCGACAAAATTGACACGTTCCGAGGAGATCCACAGTGAACTTAAAAGAGGAATGAACTCCCAGGCTGAAATGTTAAAATCTGTAATATGTTAGAAAATGTTGGAACCTTGGACCAATCATGATGCCGAAGATAATGGTGAATAATTGCCTTTATTGGTACGGATCGAAGTCACTATTCAGATTGTGTGTTGTTTATATTCGCACCCGCAGCTGTATGCCATTACGAGCATTGTCACAGTGGCGTGTTTTTGTTGTTTTCAGGCCGAGGATGCGTCACCATGCCTGTCCCCGTCTGTGAGTGCCCGCGCGTGCTGGGCATGAAATGTTGCTCAGACGAGGTCACCTCGGCCAGTGTCGTTCTGCGCACGCGCAGCAGGCGGCGCTGATCGTGACGTCACTGATTCTGCAGCTATGGAGTGTCACGGTGGCAGCGGATTTCGGTAAGATTTGAACATGGGCCAAAGAGGGTTTGTGCATTCATATGCTATGGATCTCCTTGAGCGACCCCAGTAGCTATCCTCAATTTGAATGCGCGATGCACTTTTTCGACTGCACACGTAACACAACGAAGGGGATGCGCATTATGTGTTGTCCCTCCAATTTATTTTCAATAAACATGCAATCTACTAACAAGATGAATGCAGCCCACCACTCATTCCTAGATGTCGACCTTTGCGAATTAGCAATGATGCCTGTGACGCCCCAGCCCTGCTGTAAATCCACCTTCGTGTGCAATGGCACGCGAGTTCCAGCGTCATTTTCAGCGCTCACGTGCAGGAATGCCAACATTACATTGCATGGCTGCTACAAACACGGTGGGCTGTTCGGATAGATCATCAAAATGGATAGGTACTATAGATATAGTGCCATCGAATTTGTTCATAATTAGCTTTGATTGAAACGTTATTTATGATGGGCATTCATTTTATCCAATTGGATCAACAAACATATGCCTAATTCATTCCGACCCTTCAAAAAATATAATGAATGATCGGAAAGTATCAAAACAAAGCAATGACAGAACGTGAAAATCGGTGTCCGGTGGTGCTTTTCATTCCTTAATATAAATTTCGAACCGCGTGATCTCATCAGCGATCGGATGACTGATATCAAAGGGCAATGACATCTCAAACGGAATAGCTGGCCGTTCGTATAAAATTGACCTGCTGCCTTAAATAACTCTTTGTCTTCTTCAGAGGTAACGACCCCTACTCCAGATGGCTCGCCTGTACGGCAGCCCTAAGCCTGAGTGATGGCCCAGTCGTCTCTCTCCGGGCACACACCCTTTGCTGGATCAGAATTCACTGCAGCTGGAGGAGGCTCATGTCTCACCAGATCAGACGGGGGCTCGTTACGAAAGGTCGCCGCCGCTGCGGCACGTCGCCCGGCCACTCTGCACCCGAGCGGTCACGGTCAAAACGAACCGCCGACCGACACCGGCCGCGCCAAAACGGACCTTTGCTTCCAGTGGTCACTGCTCGGTCCGACAGCGGCTGGAACCACCGCCACGGCACCCATAGGAGCGCCATAGGTCAGGTCAAAGGTCACTGCATGAGGCGCAGGGTCACCTGTCTGGCGGGAGAGATTAGATGGAAGGTGCGCAGTGATAAATGGTAGATTGGAAGGCAGGTGGGGAAAGGGCTAATTTACACTCGCATGGTGCAGCATAACATGTGTATTTTAGTGCAACCATACGAGTTAAATAAACAATAATCATGACACAAACATCATCCATTATATATTTAAAGTGATACGACAAATGATTATGACCAATAGGAGTGCTGAGCATCGATTTAGATACAGCGATAGAATATATTAATATAATAAATAACATAATAAGGTAGGGAATAGTGATTTCTCATCACCGTTATAGTGGCACAGCTATGTTATTAAACAAATGCTATAAAAGGAATCTGGAACGAAGATTAAACGAACTTTTCATCTCTCACGGAGGGAGACGGCGACGACTTATTTCAAATTCAGATAAAACGGGCAAGTAAGGCCGAGGCAGATCGTCTTCTAGATCCTCCCAGAACTCCAAACTTTCGACACTTTCGACACCGACCTCCACCATTGCCCGAAATCGTGCCACCCGAACTTGGGGTCAGCTCTCCACTGAAGAGGCTGGAGCACCGAACTTCGTGACCAAGTCGTAACATTTGTGAGTAGGATGAATAGCTTCAGCTGAAATCGTTCTTTCAGATGAGTAGTTTTCTGAATCAGCAGCAAAAAAAAAAATAGTCACGGATTGATCTTTTCAACAGAAATCGACACGTTATGTGTAGCGAATTGGAGTCAGTTCCCAATAATTGCCATGTTATTTTACTAAGAACTTACATGGACCTGCAGTGATTCATTTGCCTGGTCTGATAAGCTCAGCCGGGGGCCTGGGACTTCCCCGACCGACCGGACTATGCAGCTGGGCAGAGCTGAGCCCTCTCTCCCGACCAGAGCAGTCGACTGGGTTATCGGAAGTACATAAATCTTAGAGGATTTCCCGGCATTCCACAGGTGGCCGGCACAGTCCCCATAGCCCTCGCTCGACGACCCAAATGATCTAACGTCGGCACGTAGTTAGTTAGGTGGGCAGTGTTGACTTTCTGCCGGTCAAAGTTGGACCAGCTGATTGATTTAAAGAGGATAACTTAATGTCGATAAATTATGCTAACGTGAAGACGCGTGTTTAAGTGAAGTTCGGCTCATGGTCCGAGATTCACAATGTTATTTTGGGACCTTCCAGAGCAGAGAAGCCTGAAGAGACGCATGATTGAAATACATAATTCTAAAGAACGAGGATTACAGATTTAGCGTCCAGCTTTTCAATCCTTTTTCATCATTTATTCATTTTTTTGCATTTTCATAATGAAGATCGCTATACGTGTGGCATACAAGTGGATTGCTTTCGACTTATCACATTTTTACGCTATCGCTTCAAAAGCGACGGCCTGCTATACGCTGTTCCCGTGGCTGAAACATCACATTCCATGCATAGTCTATTCCAGGAGTCCGAAGACAGAGCCGTCGCCGTGTAATCCTGTTATAAGGTGCCGTGTCACCTCATAGGAGAGTGGTACTAAACGTGGATCCTGTTAAAGCCGGCTTTACATGCTACTTCTGCACGTTCGGGGCTGATGCAAAGACGGTAAAGACGGCCAACATATTTTGTTATTTATTTAATTGCTAATTTCCTATGTCTAAGTCCGTTTGGCACCCATGTCCCTCTGGCATTAAGCTGATTAAATTGTTGGATAGTGGATACCTAATTATATTTTTTTTATGTTCTCTGACAACTATTTCACGGCATGCTAACGGTATCATATACCTTGGTCACTGTGTTCTCTTGCGATATCTACACTATGCAATTACGAGTATAGCTACAGGCGACGACGTCTTAACCTTCCAGGCGGTGGGGGGGGGGCATTTTTTTGCCTCCCCCCTTTAGTTTTTTCGATATATCTCGAGAACCGCTGCGCCGATCGTCACCAAACTTTCAGTACCCTCCCGGGAGCAGCTAGCGCACATGGTGACCAAATTTTTTTCCAAAGGCTATGATAGGTTGGCCGCTAATGACGTCAGAGTGACGCCATTTTTGCCATTTTCGACCCAAAAAAAGGTTTCGCGGGAAGAGCTGTCAGGCCTACAGCTTTAAAGATACAGAAAAATATTTCAGACATAAGAGGTGTGGAATTAAAAGGGCTACAAAACTGCTATTTCGGTTTTTCGAATTTTTTGAATTTTGACCCCCAAAAAAAAAATAGATTTTTTGAATATAATAGCCAAAAAATCAAAAAAGTTTTTAGAATTTCGAAAAAACCGGAATATCTTTGATAGCCCCTACCGCCTTCTATCTACATACCAAATTTGAGATCGATACCTCTTTTTTTGGTTAAGTTATAGCGAAAAAAACTGTTCAAAATTGATGACGTCAAATTTTCAAACTCAATTTTTAGCAATTATAGACCTCGTAGCGCAAAACAAAGACCACCATTAGACTCCCCGTGACGAGCTGCATCGAATCGATACCCATTTTATGCAAAAATATCAACTTTGAAATTTGACCTTTTTTGACCTGACCTTGACCTGACCTCCTCCAGAAAGTACCCTAAACCGTACCTGATGGTCTTATAACCAACACCATTGAGTTGGAAATGAAAAACTGGCCATAAAACATGCATCGCATAACCTTAGTAAAGTTGGGCTCATGTGGTGACCCTTGGTGACCTTTGGTGACCTGACCTGTGACCTGACCTGGTATGACCAGTGACCTCTAATAGCAACATATGTACTAGACAACTGACGCCTTATCGCTGATTTTCGACAAAATGCGTTTTACTCGGTGTTATAGCGCTTTCCCTAGAAGCCCCGTGAACGGTGAAACATTTTATCTTTGACCTGACCTGTGACGTCATCGGTGACCCCGAGGTCAATGAAATTTGGTTTCCTTCGACAAATTTGACAGGGCTATCGAACGCTCTTTGAATTTTCCGGATCCGTCCAGTAGTTTCGGAGATACGGGGGGGGGCAAAAAAGTGCCCCCCCACCGCGCGGAAGGTGGCTGGTAGGCCCACCGCCTGCCGGGTTAAGATCATAAGTGCAATGTTATCGACCAGCCCGTATGCACATTCAGGGAAATAAGATGCAAACTTTTCTTGCAACCATGAATACAAAAAACCTACTTTGCATTTATTCGTGTTTTGGTCATTTTTCATCTGGCTTCCATTCCTTTGTCAGGTAGAAAACGCCAGCCTATCGGCCGAAAAACTCGCACGACATTTCGCTGCCAATGGCTGTTCCATTTATCAACCTGGCTGTCGCCCAGAGGACCGCAAAAATAGCCGGCATTGTTTGCCTTCTTTCAGCGGAGCGATCTATGGCTCAAGGTGTGAGCGCTGCCAGTGGAGGGCCGACCTCCCCTGCTGGTCCCTCGAGCCGCGCGGCCCACGAAACCCCAATGAAAACCATTCTCACCGCCATAAATTGGCGGCGAATAAATTGAAAAGCTAGCGGTGTCCCTGCTGTGGCCGGCGGCGGTAGAGGCGGATTGGGGAGACTGGCCGGCCAGACGTGCCGTCCTGGGGTGTGACTGTGTGACCCGACTGCCGGTCACAGGTCACGGGTGGGGCGGCAGCGTCTGAGCCACTGACCCAGCTGAGAGGCCGAGTCCGTCTCCAGACGGCCCGGCGGTAATTGTTCCAGCACCAACTGTACTCCCCAGCGGGTCGTGACCGAATTAGAGGGATAAGACTGGCGAGTTCATCAGTGACGGCGGTGAAAAGTTGAATTGCGTTTCGAGCTCGCCTCTAGAAGCTTTCAAGAAGTGTAGGTTTTATGGCGGGTGCAGTGAGTAACGTCCAGTGGGTGTGAAGAATCGAGTGGTAATGGGCTCCAGAAGCCCGGCACTGAACCACCTAACCTTTAACCTACCTTTTTCTTAATTTTA